CTTCTTCTTCTTCTTCTTCTTCTTCTTCTTCTTCTTCTTATTGGTCTTCGAGTAGTTTTAATGAGCCACAGTCATCATCATCTTTCGAATTCCATGCGTTTTTCCTATACATTGAAGGTAGAGATAGACCCTATCTCCGTCGAATATTAACTTCTTCTTCTTCTTCTTCTTCTTCTTCTTCATTTCTTCTTCTTCTTCTTCTTCTTCTTCTTCTTCTTCTATTATTGGTATAAAGTAGTTTTAATGAGCCACAGTCATCATCATCTTCGACGCGAATTCCATGCGTTTTTCCTATACATTGAAGGTAGAGATAGACCTATCTCCGTCGAATATTAACTTCTTCTTCTTCTTCTTCATTATCTTCTTCTTCATTATCTTCTTCTTCTTCTTCTTCTTCTTCTTCTTCTTCTTCTTCTATTATTGGTATTGGTTTTAATGAGCCACAGTCATCATCATCTTCGACGCGAATTCCATGCGTTTTTTCCACATTGAAGGTAGAGTAGACCATCATCATCTTCTATTATTGGTATAAGAGTAGTTTTAATGAGCCACAGTCATCATCATCTTCGACGCGAATTCCATGCGTTTTTCCTATACATTGAAGGTAGAGATAGACCTATCTCCGTCGAATATTAACTTCTTCTTCTTCTTCTTCATTATCTTCTTCTTCATTATCTTCTTTTTTCTTCTTCTTCTTCTTCTTCTTCTTCTTCTTCTTCTTCTATTATTGGTATAAAGAGTAGTTTTAATGAGCCACAGTCATCATCATCTTCGACGCGAATTCCATGCGTTTTTCCTATACATTGAAGGTAGAGATAGACCTATCTCCGTCGAATATTAACTTCTTCTTCTTCTTCTTCATTATCTTCTTCTTCATTATCTTCTTTTTCTTCTTCTTCTTCTTCTTCTTCTTCTTCTTCTTCTTCTTCTTCTTCTTCTTCTATTATTGGTATAAGAGTAGTTTTTAATGAGCCACAGTCATCATCATCTTCGACGCGAATTCCATGCGTTTTTCCTATACATTGAATTGAGAGATAGACCTATCTGGAATATTAACTTCTTCTTCTTCTTCTTCATTATCTTCTTCTTCATTATCTTCTTTTTCTTCTTCTTCTTCTTCTTCTTCTTCTTCTTCTTCTTCTTCTTCTTCTATTATTCAGTTTTTAATGAGCCACAGTCATCATCATCTTCGACGCGAATTCCATGCGTTTTTCCTATACATTGAAGGTAGAGATCCTATCTCTCGTCGAATATTAACTTTTCTTCTTCTTCATTATCTTCTTCTTCTTCTTCTTCTTCTTCTTCTTCTTCTTCTTCTTCTTCTTCTTCTTCTTCTTCTTCTATTATTGGTATAAGGTAGTTTTAATGAGCCCAGTCATCATCATCTTCGACGCATGAATTCATGCTTTTTCTTCTTGAAGGTAGAGATACCCTTCTTCTTCGTATAAAATATTATCTTCTTCTTCTTCTTCTTCTTCTTCTTCTTCTTCTTCTTCTTCTTCTTCTTCTTTATTGGTATAAGAGTAGTTTTAATGAGCCACAGTCATCATCATCTTCGACGCGAATTCATGCGTTTTTTCCTATACATTGAAGGTAGAGATAGACCTATCTCCGTCGAATATTAACTTCTTCTTCTTCTTTTTCTTCTTCTTCTTCTTCTTCTTCTTCTTCTTCTTCTATTATTGGTATAAGAGTAGTTTTAATGAGCCACAGTCATCATCATCTTCGAATTCCATGCGTTTTTTCCTATACATTGAAGGTAGAGATAGACCCTATCTCCGTCGAATATTAACTTCTTCTTCTTCTTCTTCATTATCTTCTTCTTCATTATCTTCTTTTTCTTCTTCTTCTTCTTCTTCTTCTTCTTCTATTATTGGTATAAAGAGTAGTTTTAATGAGCCACAGTCATCATCATCTTCGACGCGAATTCCATGCGTTTTTTCCTATACATTGAAGGTAGAGATAGACCTATCTCCGTCGAATATTAACTTCTTCTTCTTCTTCTTCATTATCTTCTTCTTCATTTCTTCTTTTCTTCTTCTTCTTCTTCTTCTTCTTCTATTATTGGTATAAAGTAGTTTTTCTTCTTCATCTTCGACGCGAATTCCATCGTTTTTTCTATCATTGAAGGTAGAGATAGACCTATCTCCGTCGAATAACTTCTTCTTCTTCTTCTTCTTCTTCTTCTTCTTCTTCTTCTTCTTCTTCTTCTATTATTGGTATAAGAGTAGTTTTAATGAGCCACAGTCATCATCATCGAATTCCATGCGTTTTTCCTATACATTGAAAGGTAGAGATAGACCTATCTCCGTCGAATATTAACTTCTTCTTCTTCTTCTTCATTATCTTCTTCTATCTTCTTTTTCTTCTTCTTCTTCTTCTTCTTCTTCTTCTTCTTGTTCTTCTTCTTCTATTATTGGTTAAAGAGTGGTTTTAATGAGCCACAGTCATCATCATCTTCGACACGAATTTTCGTTTTTCCTATACATTGAAGGTAGAG